CCGGAACCAGATCTCAGTCATGCTTGGATGGATTTTGTTCAGATTTAGTACAATGTGTTGTACATATGCAGGTGCATTTCGGTCATGATCTGCTTTGAATGTATATGTCACTCAAATATGAACGGAACGGGGACGTGTCATTGACAATGACTTGTTTGTGTTATGTACTACACCATGATGGGTCGTATTATTATAGGGTGACAACATTCACATAGCCGCTTTAGTTCTCATTTCATTTTGAAAATGAAATATCATTCTGTTCTGGATCTGGATAGTGTGAATTCGCATTATACTGAACACTTGAGAATGCAAATATGCATTTTGTGGCGGCTCAATAAACTTTTTGAGATTGTAACTTTGTCCAAAACAAGCGGGCAATGAATTGTTCTGTTAAATCCAGTATGTAGATGAAAACAAGATTGAGACTTGGTATTGGGCAAATCTAAGCAAACGCCGGGGTGTCACTGTAATCAACTTAGAGCAGGTATTGTGCCCGGGCTGTGCGTATCATTGTGGGTACTGTCCCAGCAAAGTCCTGGGCTTAAGCACAGTCCCTGTGATAGGGTGACTGTAGCTTGAGAAACAGGGATTCGACGTGATTGGTGCATAGTAGTATTTGTGGTTATATTTGAATGTCATCTCGTGGTTATTACATTATTATTGCTCTAGTTTACAGTAAAACATCCCCCGTTATTGACTTATTATTTGTTAGTAGTTGAAGGTGTGTAGCTGTAATACCTGTTCCCTGTTTTGTTAATCGGCGGTCTATGTATTGCCTAAAAAATGGGGGGGGAGGCTTCTCCAAAATCAAGCTGAAACCATTTGTGTCAGCAAAATTTGCCCCTCAAATATATAGCGTTTCAGAGTGTCTAGATTTCAAAATTTTAAAGGGGAGCATGCGCGAAGCTAGTGAGCAGATCTCGCCCCTCCAAGTAAAATTCCGTGCCGCCGCCTTTATGTACGCATGCTGCAATACAAAAAAATGCGTATTATGAGTGGTTTTCAAACAGAAAGTCATGTCTGCGTACAAAACAAAACAAAACAACAAACTTTTTAAAAGAGTATATTTGTTTTTCTAAAATGATAAGATAAACGCAAAGAATGATTATTTTCCAATCGCAATGTCTTAATTCTTATGTGAATCTCCCAGGTGAATTCCCGATATGAATTAGTATCCAATCATACGTTCCGACCTCCTTCGCAAATAGAGGTTTTACTTTTGATTAGTATGAACATGCAATGGAATGGCTTATTTTTTGTAAATGTTTGTATGCATTAAGAGTTATTTTTTCAAAAACCACTATTGAGCATAGGTACTCCAATTCGAGTGCCTCCCCTGTTTTTGTATTTACAAATAAAATGTAAAGCATGACAAAAATTATGTGTTTGGTAAAGTGATACTGGACGTTGATTAACATTTTTGTGGCGCTGTATTTCTTTTAATCGAGGTCGCGCATGCGCATAGTTGTTAAGCTTTTAAAATGGCGGTGTCGAGTGCGAGTTGTAAACTGGTTGCTGGTAGACTAAGAAGTCGTTGTCAGACAGATCAAGGCTGAATTAACCGTTTTAATGTGGCCGAAGAGTATATCCTAAAAGGAATAGACCAGCCTGGGTTTTACAAACACATGGTTTTGTGGAAAGGTGATTATATTCAAAATGTCTTCTCGTGTGATTTGTGGCGCTGATTTTCTGGGTAACTGCAGTGTGGTTTCAGTAGTGTCGCTTTATTACTTGAATTGATCATTTTCAGTAGCCATGCCCACACGTTGCACTGCAAGTTGGCAGCAAGTTTAATAATACTCTGGTGTTGTACCGACTTCGCGTTTAATTGAGACAACTCATATAATATAATATCAGTCGCTGAATAATTGAACATGCAATTCAATTGCCTTACTGGAAATATAAAAGCTGTCGAAATGCAATGTGATGTATTTTGACTGTTTTATTTTCAGGAAGAGGTGTATTTGCTGCAAAGAATTTTACAAAAGGTGATTTCCTTTTAGAGTATCATGGTGAGCTATTAACTGGAAGGGAGGGTGAAAGACGTGAAGACCGCAAGGATAGTGTACCGTATTTCGTTACTTTTTCAAGCATAAAGGAAAAAGCTATTGGTTAGTATTATCTATTAATATTTTGGCACGTTTGACATTTTTTTTTTTTAACTAAGGTTTCTTCTATCCATTTGTTGAAATTACTACCCAGAATGCTTTTTGCCTGTCTGCTGCCGTTGATGCAGTAGCATTTGTAATTCATGCATTGAAAATTCATAGAGATGACCCATAAATGTTCACATCATTTTGTCTATCAGTCTCAAGTTTCCTTGCATCTTAGACTGGTATTTGTAGTGACAAGTGATGCAAAATTTGATAATTTTTTGTTAGTTTTGGAATACCTTGTTTCATATAGAATTTCCATGAAAATAAATATTTTTCTGGAAAATTTACCAACTGCAGCTCTCTTGGGTTGGAGCTTGAGCATGATGGAAGATTTCTGAGTATATCTATAAGCCAATATACATTATGAATGGTAATTTAATCTGACAGCCCCTTTACATAATAAATACTGTTGGTTATAAAGAATTGGTATTAACATCAGAGTAAGATGTACATTTTTAGCTCCCGTGAAACGGAGCTTATGTAGTACCGGTGTCTGTGACTCTGTGACTCTGTGACTCTGTGACTAAAATTTGTTCCACTGATAACTCAAGATCTACAATTTCAATTAAAATGAAATTTGGCACACAGCTAATATATGATGAGTAGATGTGCTGATTAGATTTTGGTGCAATTCCATGCATTTCTTAACAAATATTTGACTAGGGTGAGTAGCCTAATTTGCATATTGCAATAACGTATTCTGTCGCAAAAAAAACTTGTAATATTTCATTGGAATGTCTGCAAATTTGCGAATTTTAGTATAAAATGATTTATTATATCATGATGGATGTTATTTGAGCAGATACAGCGACTAAAAACTTCAAATGTATGCGAGTATGGGGAGTACGCATGCGCAGTTACAAGAGTGACGCGGCCATTTTTTCAGTTTGACGAAAAAGCAGTACCTTTTCCGATTTTCATGAACGCAAGTTCAATTTCACTTTGTGCGTCATATTCATCAATAGACAAAATCGAAGACAGATGCCGTACAACTTTCTGCCAATCTTGATTCGTAAATGTGCTGGTTACATGTACAGTGTTCTCCTCAGGCCTGCGTTGCTTAGACAATAGCCGCGTAACTTTCGTTTCGCCCGCGATTCTGCAGTGTTCTCATCAGGTTTTTTAAGGGTATTGGGTCCGATACTGTTCTTTCTTTCCATGATACTGTTTCCCTCAAGCTGGGCCATTTCCAGGCCATTGCTTTGCAATGATGAATCAGAACAGAACAAATTGTGTGAACTGATCGATCCTAACTTATTATCTGGATACTCGTATTCACCTGCGGGTCTGCGGATACTTCGGCCTACTTTCAAGCATGAATATACAAATGTAGTAGGAAATCAACGATTTTTTTCAGTATCGTTCCAGACTTTGCAAGATATTTATATAATAATCACAGTGATCACTACTATTGGGTTCAAAAATTATTTATGATCATTCAAAATATAGTGGCCATGGCTGTCGGTTCAACCCAGAACTGACCTTCACCGCTATTGCGACGCCACAAGCAGAGAAAAGGAAAGCTGAATCCCCACGTCTACACTTAATCCATGTATAAGGCAGACACCCGACAGCAACAACAAGGAAGTTTGTCAGTTTTATTCAAGATATAAATTTTCTATTTTACGCATTGGAGCTACACAACGTGACTTCCAATGTGATCTAGTTTGTAAACAATCTCTTTGCACACGACTCCCAGTGTCTTCTCCTCGAGCATACAGTAATGTTTCACATTTGTTTTCGTATGGTTTCCATCTTACTCAAATAAAACGAAGCAGTTGATTCCTATTTTACTTAGTGTTTATTCTTGGTTGATATTTTTAAACAAAAATGCACTCATTAAACAAATAGTAATTATGTGAGTTTTTTGTTTTTGCCGAACGAGGACAAGGAAGACAAAATGGCGGTAGTTTTGTGTAGGGTCGATCGCGATCTTCGGTTTGTATCAAAAGCAATAATTCGAGCAATAATTTGATAGCAATTAAACAAATTTCAATCGTTGGCGTATGTAAGGGCTGGATCACTTACTTTCAAGCCCATAAGAAAATCAAAGCAAAAATTATTCAACTGCAGACGAGACAAACCCCGACCTCTAGAAATTCCTCATTCATAGAGTGCCTCATTAGTGCCCTTTTGTTTACAAGTATAGTGTCCTTGCATGTTTTTCAAAATGCCCATATCAAAATCATGTGTTTCCATATACAGTAGGTCATAGATTCTCGGACATCTTGATCAATTTTATTGGTGGATTGACCTACATGCAATTACATTCACTTATTAGGCAAAGTCTATACCTTTATAATACATGCTCTGATCACACGGGAGCTATTTACAGTTTAACTTTGATTAGAGCGATGTAATTTGTTTTTAACAATGGGCAATACTGTTTGTTTCTACCTGACAAAAGAAGTATTGGTATGTACTGTCTATAAATAGTAAAATTGATGAAAGTTCCAATAAATTTTTAAAACCATTCATGACCGCTCAAAAACATTATTACCCTTATTATTACTATTATTACATTATTACCAGGTATTATTATTATTATCTTTTGTATTAACTTTAGGGAATGTAAACTATTTTTTTCTCTTTCAAATTTTGCCACTGACCCCATGTTTTATTTTTCATATGACCATGTCCATTTTGTTTTAAAGTTTAAGAATGATTAATGATGTATTATTCCGCTGTTATTAATCATAATCCTGTATGTAAAGCTGACTACAAGAATAAGTTTGTAAAGCACTATATAGGCTTGAAAGGTTATATAAACTCAAACTTGGTTAAAAATTGTTTTTTAGTGTTGATGCAACTGATGAACCTTGAAAAGGTACTATATATGGACGATTGGTTAATCATGAAAGAAAACACCCAAATTCAAGAATGCAAGTAATAGAACTAAGGAGTCGCCCATACCTAGCATTGTTTGCAATCAAAGACATTGACGTTGATGAAGAGATTCTTTATAATTATGGACCAACTAGATTACCTTGGGAAGTTAAGGTAAATATCGTAAAAGGTGTTGCAGTGGTACTGTAATTAACTACTGTTGAGATATAGTTAAACAATCACATATTGTAGATGATTATAGTTGTGTTCACGTTACACGAAGTACGGGCTAAGATTTAAGCTGATTTAGGCTTATCTAGCATATTTGCATTTCGGCTAGACCCAATTGCGTCCACGCACAGGGAGGGCCAGTCGTTAGCACGGGCTAAGGGGTGTCATTAGTCGGTGACCTTTGGTAAGCCGCTATTTACGAACGAAAAATGGATGACAAGCGCGAGGTTCTATTTCTGCTGCTGACATGTTTCGTTCTAATTTTGAAGCGACGTGCACAGAAACGCGAGAGAAGACGGACCCAACTTATTTGGATGCACAGAAACAGTATACAACGGCGTAACACAATACAGAGTTTTGTTAATGCATGTCGTAGACAGCGAACCAAATTTATTTTGTCTACGATTGGAGCTGCTGTACACTCTACTACAGCGATGCGATCAGTATGGAAGCGTGTACACTGAGCTCGGTTGCCATTTTGGGAATGAGAAAGTTGGATATATTTGATCACGTGCATAATGTTCACACCCAAAGGTCGCTGCAGAGGGCGCTTAGCCCTGGGCTGGGCTAAGCGTTCGCGCACACTTCGTTAGCCCGTGCTAAAGGTCTAGACCGCATCTTAAATTCGGATCAGATTTAACCCGTACTTAGCATTCCTTAGCCCGTGCTAAGCGTTCACGCACGTTTGCTTAGCACGGGCTAAGGAATTTGACCTCTTAGCCCGTGCTAAGGAGCTGTGCGTGAACGCAACTATTGGCTACAATGAAAGTTTTTGTTTACTTGATAGTTTGTACATATTTGTACATATATATTGACTGGGAAATGTTATGTTACTCAGACATGCCTGTGTTGATTTTGTTCAAACTTGGTATGAACATCAGGTTACTGATGCACATTATGATAGTTTCACGGTTTGATTCAAATGGCTGACTGGTCTTCATTTCTCCAAGATATTTTTACAAATTTTGTTCAAATTTAGTACAAACGCAAGGCGGGTTTGAATGTTGTCTTTTGAAATTTTGACTGACTAGCATCCTTTTCCAAAAACAATAAAATCTCAACAATTTGTGCCTGCCATTGTTTCTCAGGAATGTCTTTGCTGATTTCATTTACTCCTTGCATGATCATCACACTTCATTTTGTTTTGTTGATTCAAAATGGCCAACTGGTGATCATTTTAGTCCAATAACACACCAAAAATCTACATTTGAACTTTGTCATCAACAGTTTATCTGGCATGTTTGGACCGATTTGGTATTATTTTTTTGTATCGATTTCTTGGACTTGCTTAAACCAATTTTGTTGAAAATCAGTACAAAGACAATACATTGACAAGTTGATTTATTTTGTTATTGTTTCAATGACTTTTGAGAGACTAGTGGATATTTTTGTTCCCTCACACACTCGTAAACCGTTTCTCAGGCATGCCTGGGTCAATTTCATTCAAACTTGAGAACATGACATTATTACGTGTGAATCTGTTTGATTTGATTCAAACTGGCAGCCATGTTGGTATTTTTTATAGTTTCATTTTTCAAACATGCTTTATGTAAAACATATGTTTTGTTTTGCTATTTGATTCAAAATGTCCAACTGGTTTATGTGTAGATTATACAATTTTTTAAGATATGAGAATGATCTTTATCATAGGAGGTGTCACTTTGACTGAACAAAACATGAATATGATGCCATTTGATGTAACACCATATTTTAACATGCTGAATAATCTCCCAACATTTATTGTAATTTCTCTACATTTTCATTGTTATATTGATGCGTCACTAAAACCGAGCAGGGACTAGGGCATTGACAGTGACTTGTTTTTGTAAATTTGTCATTTGCTTGACAGTGGTGGTATTTTGACTTGTTTGTCATATCAAAACATCAAAATGTTTTGTTGTTTTCAGAGCATTATTGGTGATTTTTCCTTGAAGTTTTAGGTAATTTTCTGATCTGGTTCCTCCTTGTCTTTCTTTGCATGATGGTGTCTATAATTCTTTGCCTTCATTGACCATTCTCAATATTTGGCCAAAACTGCCCATTTTTCCTATTCTTTGAATATTATTAAATATTTAATTTGTATTATATCTACATGTACACAGTTGGATTTTTTATGTTTCGGCTTTTGGGTAGCTTTTTAGTCCCCGTTCAGGCACAGCCTGAAAAGATGACTTTATAATTCAGGTTATGTCCATTTTTCCGTCTCCAACATTTTCTCAGAAATTCTACAGCAGATATCAGTGAAACTTGGCAGGTTGATGAAAAAGTCTCTGATGAGTATGCACGTAATTTTTTTTTCCAGATCTGAAAATCCCAAGTGGGTCTTTTTCACGATTTCATCAAAAATTACCTCTCCCGGCAACATTGACAGAACGTCTGCGCATGCTCAGAATAAATTAATTACTGTAAAATACTTTATTTTTGCTTGCAACATTTTTTTGCTATTTTCGCTGAAGGAATGTTTCAGTTAAAAATAAAATCCAGCGAATATACCCTTTTCTTATATTTTACAGTCAACTTGTCAAAAATCAATGAAAATAAATTCAATACAAAACACCCAGAAAAAGTCTTTTCAGCGAATGATAATCCAGCTGAAATAAAATATTTTACAGTAGATTAGATCTGTGAGTAATGCTGCTGTTATTACGGCACGTGATTTCTCCATTGCGTGCAATTTATTATAGTACTGTTTATACATGTATTCTGTTCGGCTCAGTGGTCTCATTCACTAGTTACTAGAAGAACTAGTAACTTTATTTGATTTCAAGAACTTCAAGAAGGCGGCATAAGAAACGTGTTTGCAAAGGTAAGTTCTCCAGTTTCAGCATAATTGAATGTTTATTGGGGTACGATTGGTTGTACATTCCGTGACGTACGGGACGTGAATATTATGATGATTGCCAGCTT